GAGTAATCGGGATGGGTGTGTCAGAGGCAGTGCGACTGGCACAGGATAGAGCAGAGTTTAGGGCTGTTGTACATAGGGTCGCTATGAGTTGCAAATGACTCGATGGCACATAACAACAAAAACATGTGCAACACTAACAAAGTCCAAATCCCTCTAATATTCCAAAGAGTTTCACCTAAATATTCACTCTCCTTTTTGTTCAAGTGTAAATAGTCTAATGCAGATATAAAGTGATTTAAAATGGAGACACTGAATCTCCTAAGGTGGACATCAACCTTATTTCCAAACTTCCCAGCAACACCCTGATCTAAATACACTTTCACCTCAGAAAGCCAGGAACTCCCAATTTTCTCTAAGCCCCCAATACCACCATGAATAAGAACTGACACTCACCTAGTTCTGGATCAGAGTCAGGTTCCTCTTTGATGATGTGGCTGAGATGCTCTCCAGGCCCTGAGGCTGAATTCTGAAGTCCCAGCGCCTGAGGCTCCACTTCAGGACAGGTGTCTGTCTCCCTCTCTTGGAAGCCTGTAGATTCCATCTTCCCAGTTGAGCTTTCCTGTCCCAGAACCTGGGTGCTGATCTAAAGATCATATGTTACTTGTTACTGAAGAATGTCAACTTGAGATTCCTGAAAACATGCAGTTATCTTCTAAATCATATTAGAGTCCTTCAGAACTGGGAATAGGGAAGAAGAAAGCCAGCTTCATTTTCTCATTCAGCAGGTATTTCCAGACACTGATGGAAACAGAATAAGAGAGGCCAACTGCTGACATGAACCAGGCCTGCAAGACCTTCATGACAGGCCTGTAATACAAGGTTTTTATTGGACAGTCTGTACCAGTTAAAACTTAAAGAAATGCAAACATTCTAGAGTTATGTTAGAATGGAATGGGAAATTGTACAATGGGAAATTGTACCTTCAATTCCTAACAGCTAGAGTGTTGAAAGTCACTAACATACAAAGGAAAACAAAGCAGCTGTGGAAAGGTCTTTGCAACTCACAGCAACATCGTGAGCAGAGGAGCTCTTTAGGGCGTTCTTAGAATAAACTGCAAAGGAAAGTAGATGACAAGATTTGATTTTTCTCCTAACTCTATCCCTTTGTGGGTTGAAAGCACCAGCCTTACGGTTAATAGTTAACCATTTACACCACCCAGGGACCTGACAGGCACACAGCCGTAGATGAGGCAGGAGGTCACCCCAAAAGGACCCTAGATCCCAATGCCCTCTACTTACCCACCGCCATAGTTTCTGCGGGTCATCCTTCAAGCTCTCCACTAGTGTCACAGCCTCCTCTCCATTGCGGGGACACTGTGTGCGCACCCACATCTGGATCTCCCTGGGCAGGATGGTGAGGAACTGCTCCAACATGAGGAGCTCCAGGATCTGCTCTTTGCTGTGAACTTCTGGCTGCAGCCACTGGAAACAGAGCTTCCGGAGCTGCCTCAGGGTTTCATGGGGCCCAGATAGCACCTGGTATTGAAAACCTCTGAAAAGCTGCCGGGCAGCTTCAGGGCTGGAGAGTTCCCCTTGAGAGGCAGCAGATGGTCCAGGGAGTGGAGGGTCCTCTGCCTTTGCCAGTGGTGGCACCTGGACCAGGGCCTGTCCCAGCTCCAATGGCATAACTGGGCTTGACAAGTTCTTTTACATCAGCAAAGTGCTTCTGGGTGAAACAATTCTCTGGGGAGAAGCAGGTCTTCACATAGCTTCTTGCAGGGACACTGGCAAAGAAAGAAGATCCAGTGATACACAAAGAACAACACGATTTTAAACACAAATTCATATGCCCTGCTGAGAAACCCTGGACTCAACCATGATCTCTGCACCTGCCTAGCGGATTGACAAAGAAAAGTCAGTACTGAGACTGCTCCAATTCATGTGGACCCATGTTTCTCAGAGTAGAGTTCTGTTTTACACTGATGTCCAGCGCTGGCTTGTTACTCAGAAGTAATCACTGGGTCTTTCTCTCAAGATACTACTGGGTATATTTAACTTCCCACCTGTAAGTCAACAGCAGAGGACTTTAACTGCTTACACCACCCAGGAGTACAATGGATACATTTTTCCACTTTGAAAAAGTGTTAAGTAGTGTAGCCATAGAGTAAACCTCTGACAACACATCTAAACTACCACCACCAGGCTGTCTACTTAATAACATTCTTGGTTGGTCTTCAAATGGCCACAGCAAAAAAAAAGAATACCATCTACCTCATGAAGAAATTTCACTACGGGATTCCAGATAAATACATCTTCTGCTGCTACCCTTCTATAAGTACATCTGTCCATTTGGAGACTGAAAGGCTAGACAAACACACCAGTTTCCTACAAATGAAGTCCAATGATGCCTCTAGAATAAAGGTGAGGTTAAAGAGAACAAAACAGACTTTTCCAAAAAGGGCAATGAAATTCCCAAGTGGCTCCTTTCAGTACCATGTTGCAAAGTGGGCTCTTTGTGAAGTGATGATAATCCTGTCACCCAATTTTAACCTTGGGCTCAAAGGATATTTGGAACAAATACTGGCTACCTGAAAACACACCTATTGCTGTGAACTATTTTTTGGCTAATATAAAAATTTCCTAGACTTCAACTAAAACAAAGAAGAGAAATACTAAATGATAAAGTGAATAGAAACCTAACTAACACTGTAAACTGTCTTGGTCTTATTGAAATTTTCTTATCACTAAACCCAGAAAGTGTAGAAAACTCATTCAACCGCACATAACACATTCAACAGGATAGATCAAATATATAGTAAATAGCATATCCTGAGATCTTAGTGTATATTTTCTCTGAAGAAATTATAATTTAATGATATATCCAACATACAGAAATTATCAAATAATCCTGGCTAAAAAAGAAATCAGTAAGTAAAATGGAAACACAAAATATCAAAATTCGTGAGATTCCACTAAAGCTTTGTTTAGAGGGATGGACGTTGTATTGCATTCTGCAAAGTTGGAACCAATCCATGGCTGACCCTGCAGCTGTTTTTCAGATGCAATAAATCACATGGGAGATTCCATTCTCCTCTCAAGGAGCAATGGCATGTCAAACCGTAAGTCTTTTGGATTGCAATGCAATTTCTTATACCTAGGCCATAGGAGCTCTTAGCTAAGAGAAATATATAGCTTTAAATAAATGTGGTTGTTGTTCAGTGCTGTTGAGTCAAGTTATGCCTCATAGCTTCCCTGTGAACAACAGATCTGAATCTTGTCCTATCCTGTACCATCCTCACAATCTCTGACACACTTAAGCCACAGTCACTTTGTCAGTCCACCTGCTTGAGGGTCTTCCTGATCTTCACTGTCCCTCCACCTTTCCAAGGATGATGTCACTCTAAGGAATAATCTCTCTTAGCAACATGCCCAAAGTATGCAAGACAAAGCTTCATCATCTTTGCCTCCAAGGAGCACTCTGGCTGCAGCTTCTCTAAGATCTATCTGTTCATTCTTTTGGCAGTCCATGAGATAGCCAGTACTGTTCTCCAACACCACAGCTCAAAGCATTAGTTCTTCTTCTGCCATCCTTATTCACTGTTCAGTTCACAGATGCAAGCAAGTGAATGAAAAGATTATGGCCTGAATCAGAAGCCCCTTAGTCCTCAAACTGACATCATTGCTCTTGAATAATTTGGAGAAGTCCCTGACTACTGATTTTTAATATAGCCATTCCATCTATTATGTTCCATTTTAGGATTAAATAACTTTTATGTATGCTTAAAATGTCATTCAAGAGGGAGCTCTGATGGCCTACTGGCAAGAAGCTACACAGCAATCCCAGAGGTGCATGGTTCAAATCCACTAGATGCTCTGCTGGAGAAGGAGGGACAATCTTCTCCTGTACCAGTCAGATCCGATTTGACAATACACAAAAAATAATAAAATTTTTTAAAAAACGTTATTCAAGGATGAGTTATTTATTTTATTAAATTATTTTTGTCTATGCTTAAAACGTCATTCAAGGATGAGCTATTTATTGTATTAAGAAGATAGAACTGACTCTCAGGCCCTTGCTTCTAAGATGACAAAGAAAAGGAGAAATAATGGTTATGTCAAAAAGGGCCACAGCCATGTACAGCCTATTTGGTGCATGAACTGTGCCCACTGTGTACCCAAAGACAAGGCAATTAAGACGTTCATAATTTGAAATATAGTAGAGGCACCTGCTGTCAGGGATATTTCCGAAGCAAGTGTCTTTGACATATACATGTTTCCAAAGCTCTATGTGAAACTGCACAACTGCACATATTGTATGAGTTGTGTCATTCACAGCAAGGTGGTGAGGAACCGTTCTCATGAAGCCAGAAGGACAGAACACCTCCACCCAGATTTAGACCTGCAGGTGCTGTCCCATGACCACCACCAAAGCCCATGTAAGGACTTGATTCCTTAAAGGCTGAAGAAAAAATTTATCTGAAAATAAAATGGAAACTATACTAAAAAAAAAAAAAAAGACGACGACGAAGATAGGATTGGAGTGGTGTACAGGTCCCACCCTACTAGAAAGGATTATCCAAGTTGCCACCCTGGAGTGTGGTTTATGGTGCTGAGATGCAATATAAAAAAACATTCCTGGGAAACTCAATGCTTGTTCCATTGGGGCACTGCATCTAACCTGACAACAAACCAACTCTGCCTGCTGGCTCTGGGTCTATAGTTCACTATCTGTGACCACATGCATTGGCCTACACCATTGACAATCAATTGTGCTATTTCTCTGACAGTTTCTGTGAGACTTTCCAGGGAACTGCAGAACCCAAAGGCACAGATGAAGATGGGAGAAGTGAGGGGAGGAGGATTATAATTGACGCCAGACATGACAGAGTGGTACAAATTAGACATCTGGTGTGTTAACCAGCCTCACAGGAGCTGTTGTTGCAGTGGACCAATGAGTTGGACACACAGCATAGCTGACCCTTCAGTAAGTTTTCAGAGTCAGTAAACCACATGGGAGAAGCCTATCCATCTTTCTCCAGCAAGCAGCTGGTGGATTCAAACTGTGCACTTCTAGGTTGGCTGCACAGTTCCTTACCAATAAGCCACCAGAGATACCTTTATAGAAACCATTACTAATTACTGTAAAAGAAATTATCCATGTTAATAACTATCTGCTGAATAACTGAATATATAGAGAGATATATCTATATATATATCTATATCTCCTCTACCAGCAAGGGTACTCTGGTGGCCAAGTGGGTAAGGCTGCTCCAATGGAGAAACATGGGCAATCTCCTCCCAGGTAATTTGCAACCTCTCTGAAAATCCACTGGAGGGTCAGCTATGAGTTCCTTCTAACTCAACAGCAATGACTTTTTCTAGTTTTACCACTAAAATTTGTCTCCTGAGATAGACTATCAAAGATTTAACCATCTGCAAACTTTCTCAATTAAAATTGGGGTCCCGATGGGAGTTACACACACACACACACACACACACACACACACACACACACACGCACGCGCGCACGCGCACACACACACACATTTAGGGAAATGGTCAAGCTTAAAAGATATTTAAACATGATTTCAATAGCACTGTATGCCCACATAATAAGAAAAACGTTTCCATTATTAAAAATTACAGCGCTAACATCCCAAAGACTTCACAATTATAAGCTTACTCTAAAAACGGTAATTGCTCTACTTATTAGTCTTGTAACAAATCAGAATTTTAAAATGTACAACCATGAGGTAGTTATTTTATACACGTCCATTTGTTTGAGCACCTTAAAATGTATACGCCGCTTATTGGGCTATTTCTGTTATTTCTGCTCTTCGCCATCACCCCGAGAGGGAAGTACTAAAATTTCAAATCTGGAAGCTCTGAGGTTCATTGTTGGTGCCAGACTCAAGCCCAGAAAGCTCTAAAGCCTGTGGTTTGAGGAGAGTTCCCAATGATGGTACAGGACTGTCAGAACTGAGGGGGCTGCTGACACCTGGTGCCCCCGAGGCCAGGGATGCTCCCACCGCGGGTCACGTCCTCCAACCCCAAGAGCCCCTCAAGGAGATCAGCTCCCTGCGTCATCTCATCCCGGTTCCCTCTTCCCAAGGCTCCTTCTCAGTCTTTACTCAGCAGCAGAAAGGAGTCCTATTCTTTCCACTGGGGGCGGGGGAACAGCGAACGGCCAGGGATTCTCTGGTGGACAAAGGCTCAGAATCGCGGACTTCAGGCACCCCGCAGCCTTTCACGGAACGTCACCCACCCCAGACCTGACTCACATTCTAAAGGGGACAAACCTTCAGAGTTCCTAGATGCACAGGGGCGAGCGCCACTCTGGCCCACCGCGGTGACCTGGACCCAACACGGTCAGACGAGAAGCAGTGGAACCAGGGCTATCACTAGAGGCCAGTCCAGGCCTCAGGCATCACCTCCCCCGCGGCCAGGAAGCACTTCCGGGAGCAGCTGCGCGCGCGGATCTGGGCTGGTGGGCGGGGCGGGGCCGGAATGAGGCTAATGCCTGGATTGGCTGCCGGAGCTGCCTGCTCAGTCCACGTCACCCGTGCTATGCGTCCACGCGGGGGCAGCTAGAAGTTATTTCATCTCAAATTTGCTGCGACTCATAGCCACCCCAAAACCAAAATATCTGAACCTGGCCCTATCTTGTCACATCCTGTTGGGAGATG